ACTAAGATAGGGTTCTTGAGTTATAATAAGCCTCTTTCTACAGAGTATTAGAGTTTAATTAAGCCTACCCAATGCCACTGAGTGAATTCTGACTCACAGGCACCCTCCTTCAGGTTTCCAAGACTAAACTTGATGGGAGAAAGTTGCCCATCTTTCTCCCCTGGAGTGGCTGGTAGATTCAAACTGCCAAGCTTTCAGTTAGGAGACATTATAGACTACTCTAGAAGGGCTGCTTAGAATTTTAATTGCCTTTGTTGTTAGGTGACATTGAGTTAGATAGAACTAATAGCAACCTTATGAACAATGTTGTTGTTGTTGTTGTTGTGTACTGTTGAGTCTCTTGCGACTCAAAGCGACCCTATATACAAGAGCCCTAAACCCTGCTCTATCCTATACCAACCTCATTGTTTCCGACACACCAACTCCCATTACCCCAGTCACTGAATTGACCCATCTCATCGAGGGTCTTCCTCTCTTGGGCTGTCCCTCCACCTTCTCAAACATGACGTCCCTCTCCAAGGACTAGTCCTTGCAACATGCCCAAAGTATGTCAGACAAAGTTTCAGAATCCTTGCCTCCAATGAGAAGCGTGGTTTCACCCTCTCCAGGACGAACCTGTTTGTTCTCCTAGCAGTCCATGGTATATTCAACACTCTTCTCCAGCACCACAGCTCAAAGACATTAATTCTCTTTCTATCATCCCTAGTCTCTGTACAGCTCTCTGAAGCATAGCACACATTTTCGAAGACTATAGCCTAGATCAGGTGCTCCTTAGTCTCTGATGTTGTTGCTAGATCTCTTTAAATTAAAACAGAATTTTAATTAGAAGGGGTTAAAATCATACTCAAATAGCTAAAATGTCTGCAACTCCCTGTTAGGGTCTTAGCCCCACTCTTGACCATGTGAGTTAAGAGATAAATCAGACCTCTAAACAGTCAAATGGTTCATATTGTTAGTCAAGTCTTAATAAATTTTAGAAAACATAAAAAATACTCAACAAAAATTTTCTCAGCACATTTAATGTGCTCAGTCACTTTTCCTCCTTAAAAAGTTACTCATTCTTATTTTCTCGCTAGCTACTTTCTCTACATCGACAATAATTAAAATAACCCTACTCTTAATTTTGATAATGCTGTTCTCCATGATATTAACCAATTTAGCTACATGATCACTGGCATATTTGAGCTAAGTGCAATCAGACTCCAAGAAAACTAATTCCATATGATAGAATTTAACTTATGTTTAACTTAGGTTATTAAATCACCACTCATGTCAATCTATCATGCTGTTATGATTGTCACATTACTTTGACACGAGAAGCTATGCTACTAATATTTTTAATATCATCAGGGTCACCCAAGGTAGATTTTAATGGAGCTTCCATAGTCACTCAAAGAGGCCCTGGCTATCTACTTATTAAATAATTGACCAATGAAAACCTTATGGATAACAGCAAAATATTGTCTGACATAGTGCTGGAAGAGAGGTCCCTCAAGTTCCTCAGGAGATGCTCAAAATATGACTGGAAAAGATGTGCCACCTCAGGGTAGCACTGACCTTAACCATGTGGAGAGAGTAAACCTTTCAAGATCTTTATTTGCTGATGTGGCAGAACTCAAAACCTGAAGGAACAAACATCCATTAATACTCAAAATGAGGGGTGTACAAAGCATGGATCAATGATACTTGGAAATTGCCAAAAGAAAAGGAACACTTGAAATTGCTATACCAGGCATTAGAGCTGAAATAGACAAGTATTGGCCAATTTGAATCAAATGACTCTAGTCCACTATGTCAGTAGTGGTGAGGTGAATGATGCTAAATTCATCACTAAATGAACATTTCAAAATCTGTTCTCAATACAACGTTATTCATGATAGAGTTTTATCCATCTGTCTAAAAAGAAGACCATTTAATATGACTATTTCCTCAACTTATACACTCATAACAGAGATGAAAATACGGATAGATTCTAGCAACATCTGCCATCCAGAATTAGTCAAACATTCAATGAAGATACACAGATCATCACTGGTGAAGATACACAGATCACCACTGGTTGCTGGAACACAAATGTTGGAAATGAAGAAGGATCAGTAGTTGGAAAGCATGACATAGCTGACAGAGGCAGTGCCACTGGAGATGGCATGACGGATTCTGTAAGAACAGCAACTTGGGATGCAAGTGACACAGTTCTGCTTGCGGAAATTAAAGAGGACTTGAAGGACTTGCTTATGAAGATCAAACACTACAGCATAGATTATAGTACAAATTATACCTCAAAGAAAACAAAAATCCTCACAGATGGACCAATAAGTAACATGAAAGATAAACAGAGAGAAGCTTGACATTCTCAAAGATCTCATGTTACTTGGATCCACAGTGAATGCTCAACCAGGAAGTTGGCAGTCCAGAAGTCAAATGTGGTACTGCACTGCGCAAATCGGCTGCAAAAGACCTCGTAAAGTTTTTAAAAACAAAGAAACTGTCTTGAAGACTTGGCCTAACACAATGTATTTTTAATTGTATCATATATACTCAAGGGAGCTCTGATAGCCTAGTGGCAAGAAGCTGCACTGGAATTCTGAAGGCACCCAGTTTGAGGCCACCAGCTGTAGGAAAAAGATGGGCAATCTCCTAAGTGACGAACTGCCTCTGGAAACCTGCTGGAGAGTCAGCTACGGGTCCGTCCCAACTCTATGGTACACAACAACATATACACTCAAAAGCTGGACAATGAATAAGGAGCCAAGAATAATTATGCTGTTGGCAAAGAATACTGAATAAACCATGGACTTCCCAAGAACAAAAACCCTTAAAGAAGTTTAGCGAGAGGGCTCCTCAGAAGCAAGGACGGGGATGTGGTCTCACTGAATTTGGACATGTTATCAAAAGGAGCCAGTACATGGAGAAGGATTTCCTGCTTGATAAAGTAAGGTCAGCAGCAAGGAGGAAGACTCCAGAGAGATGTACTGACAACAAGAGGCTCAAACCTATGTTTGCTATCAACGATGGTAAGGATGGGATAGACCAGGCGGTGCTGTGGTCTGATGTACAAAGCATTGTGATGAGTCACAACCAAGGAAGGCACCCAACAATGTCAACACGCCTTATTTCAATTCATATAACATCACCATTGTAATGCATGTTATCTCTCAAAATTGACTTGCTAACGTTCAGCACAAATGATACTTTTTATATAAAACATAAAATTAGAATCTCCCCTAATCCTGTGTGCAGCCCTGAATTTGTCATAATCTCTTTAGGATTACATTGCTATTTACATCTTTAAAAACTTCTGTGGTGTTTTGAGTGGATCGTAATACAGGCGTTTATGTTACTCCTTCCTTCGATACAAATGTGAGGAACATGTTTGTGTTGTAGCCACTACTCTTTGTGCTGGCAGTCCAGGAAGATTCTGACATATTTTAACAATGACATATTTATTAAGTGAACTTGTCAAGTGTAGTTATTTTTCCACTTTTAAATTTTATTTTGGGGATAGCTAAAACTACATTCATGTAAATATCTATTTCTGTAAATTTTAAACACATGTTCATGTAGTTACCTAACTCTAAGCAGAACATCTTCCTTACGGAAATTACTACTTTTTCCATTTTTCTTGTCCTTAATCTAGCAACTATTTTTCTATAGTGCATTTTAGGAACACTGTAATCAAATCCAGAGACATGGTAGAGGAAACAAATAAGAGCTAAAACATTAGTAGCTACCAGTATTGTTATACTAAGTGCCAGGAACTTATTTTTATTTTATCCATTTTCACCATAACCTCAAGAGATATGTATTCTTGTTTTCACTGTATATAAGAAAAAAGGAAAAAACCAAACAAACATGAGGTTCAGAATGATTAAGCAATTTGGTCAAAGCCAGACCTTAAAACTGGAACTTGAATCCAGGATTGTACAATCCTTAAGTTCATGCTAGTTTTTCTGTTATGTACCATCGAGTGAGAACCAACCCCTAGCTGACTCTCCAGTGGGTCTTCAGAGGGAGGAAATCACATGGAAGGAGACTGCTCAACTTCACCCTGCAGAGAAGCTGGTAGATTCAAACCGTGTACCTTTACGTTCATGCTGAGATCTTTCAATTTATTTCCAGTGAAAGTGGCAAAATGAACCATAAATGGCGAGAGAGTATCCTATATTTAGGATATAAGTAAAGGTAACTTTTTGATTGTCCATTCTTTGCTCTGGTGGCGTAGTGTTAAGGAGCTGCACAGCCAAACCAAAGACAAGTAAGTGATTAGAATCCACCAGCTGCTCCTCGGGAGAAAGAAAGAGATCCAGTCTCCTTCCATGTGATATTCGGCCTCTGTAAACCTGCTGGAGGGTCAGCCAGGAGTTGTTCCTACACAACAGAAACAGACAACACTCTGCTAGGTATTTTGTGTGGTCAGTGATTATTGCAGTACGATTCTAGAGCTGGTAGGTGGAAGATCAGGCACCAAACCCAAATCTGAAAGATGCCTAGCCTGGATTTTTTTCCAGTGTTCTATGCCACTCTGACCCTCTAGTAAGATGAGGAGGAAACATCTGAGGACAGAATCCACAGTGCTGCACAGATCACCAAGCTTCAACGCCCCGGGTGTTTCAAACAGCTCTTCCACCTATGTAATGCTTGGAATAAGCTAATCCTTTCATAGAATTATTTTTTTTAAATTAATAATTGCATAAGAAGGTCTGATGGTGCAGTGGGTTAACATATTGGGCTGTTAACCAAGCAGCTGGCGGTTTGAATTCGCCAGCTGGTATACAGGAGGAAAAACAGGCATTCTCCTCTCTGAAACTCAAGTGTCAGAAGCCTCCTCCAGGGTCACTGGGAGGTGGAGTAAACTTGATGGCAGTAGGATTACTTTGAAAACTAAAGAGTGAAGGCAGTGGTTGCTTTTTACCTGCCATAAAGTCAAGAGAAGCTGTAAACAGAGAAGAGATAAATTACAGGTTATGTATAATTAAGAAAAAAATATTATTAAAGCTTACCTGCAGAAACCTGGGGAGAAGATGGTTTGATTCAATGCCAACAAATATATGCAGCAATTCCAGCAGGGAAACGGACTGGCAAAGGCGCATCACAAGTCCAATAGCATAAAAAGTGTCAACCATTGAATCTGTGCCCAGTGAAAAATAGAGACAGGAAGTCAAGGGAATGTAGAAAGCTGGAGAGCGGGCCAAATCTGTACAGGGCTTTGCAAAACACCAAGGTTATTTATGTTCTTTTTCACTGAATGTGTCAGAAATTCTACAGGCACGCTGCTACATTACTAACAATGCAGTGCAAGAAAAGAATGCATTTCCTATTGTAGTTAGTGCATTTTAATCATTACTCGTCTAAAAAGAAGTGAAAACTTCAGAAAGGGCACGTCACAGCCAAAGCTACCTTAGTCATTCTCCATATCAAACACAAACTCATTACCATTGAGACTTATAGCTGACCCTTAAGTGGGATTTTAGAGGCTGTAAATCCCATGGGAGGAGAGTGTCTGTCATTCTCCCTCAGAGCCTGATGGATCTGGACCATCAAAGACAACAAGCCTTACAGTTAAGAGTGCAAATCTCTGTGGACTACGTCGCCAGAGCTCCCCTGAGTCTCTGTACAGGGGAACATAAAACTATTCCTGCCTAAAAAGTCACCTGCTAGAATTTAGACCCTCTCAAGGGTGCACAGTTTTGGATTTGAGTTTGCTTGGAATAATTATAACGTGGTCATGCTGACCACTTTACCCCTTGACAAGAAAATGATAGAGATGAGAAGAGCATTATTCTAACGAGGTGTTCTGGAAATGCCAGTCATGGACTATAATAAGTAACAGCACCTTAGGCATCCTCAGGATTTGCATCATACATACTTGGCTAGCAATTTTGTTTGTTGATTTTGTTAAAATTAGAATTTTTACTTCTGATCAGGACTTTAGGATTTTTTATTGCCAGGGCCCTCAATGAAACATTGTTTTTAGGGAGAGCTGAAATGGAAGAGAAACAAATGGAAGGATATAATTAATGTTTTAAATTTTGAAATTAAATTCTACCAAGTTAAGGGGAAGCTTTGCTCCATTTACCATCTGTTGAACATTTTTATGGTAATTAATCAAAGAAAATGAAGAGTTTCCCTCTGCAACAATTTTATAAGGCAACACTATCTATCATCGTCCCATTTCACAGAGGAGATGTGAGGCACAGGCAGCCCATATTCTTACCCACAACCTGACCTCACTATTACATGGGATTAGTAAGTACACAGCTCTGTGAAGGAGGAAGCTGGCAGGTCTTAGCTTAGTGGTATTAGGTGTCACTGAGCCAAATATGACTCACAGAGATCCTACAAACACAGCCTTGTCCTATCCTGCCGCACAACCTCTGTCACACGCAAACCCACTGCTGAAGTTATTTGTTCACGTCTTCTTGACTTCTCTTGAGCTACTTAATGGATACACTCATTCAGGAATTGTACCGAACCCTCCCTTAGTTGATTTTGGTCTGCTAAGGGTTACGCTCCTTAGAAGTAGACTCTATCATTATAATTGCAGTATGTGACAGTGTTTGGTGGAGCTCCCTGATTAAAACAAGCTTGGAAGCAGGAATGGCATTCACTTCCAAAATAGCTTGCCTCCAGAAACTCTATGAACTTGGAGAAACGATGAAAGTTATGCAATTGTTCAGTCTTTCATTTACAGGGTCACTATGAGTCGTCTATTATATAAATATAAACATATATAAAGCTATGGGTTGGTTCTGACTCAATGATACAAAACATGTATATAATCATAACTGTAAAGGCAATAAAATAAAGAAATACATTATTGATTAAGGCAACTTTTCTCACTAGAAGCACCAGGGTACCTTTGGCGATGTTGGGTTAATAAAGCATCAAGACAGCATTAAAAAAAAAGTCTTCTGGTTTGTGACTCGTGTTGCAAATGGGCTACATTCTCTTCACACACTCACGGTTTATTTCCCAGACCTAGGAGAGAAGGGTTGGTTTTTTTCTCCCCGAGAATGTTAAAGAAGTTTTCCCCTTTTTGGTTTCTCAGCCTGCGTTTTCTGCAACTTAAGCTCACCCACAGTGCATAGTTATATTTTTTTATGATTAAAGAAAGCAAGTGAACTATTTATTATTCCATTTATCTTAATTGACTTTACAAGTTGTCATTCAGAAGAGCTAAGATTTTATCATTTTATTGTCAAATGGTTTGTCATGAACAGTAATGAAGAGAGTATCATTACAAATACTTATATTTTAAATTCAAGTCTTGGCTGTATTTTTAGAGGCTCTTAACAAATATACTAATTTATCTGTACATTAGAGACATTATAAGAAAGCTGTATTTCAGGAAAAAATTATCTGTAGATTTTTTTTGTTTCAGTAAGAAAAAGTAATCTAAAAAAATTAAAAATAAAAAGTAATCGGACATAATTTCTGGGACCCCAGAAGTAAATTCCTTTCTTTAAAATACAGAAGTCTGGATTGATGAGCATAGCATAATTTCCCCCAGAAATATTCTACACATTTGTTTTTGGCTGAAAAGAGCAATTGCTCAAATTGTCAAGTCACTGAACAGCTGTAAACTGTGATGACACTTAGCCACATGGAGTGGAGTGTGAGAGGATGTTATTTTGACAGTCATTTAATGATTCATTTCTCAAAAACAGAAATGCTATCTACAACCAGAGTCTTTCACTTTTCAGGAAAATGGAGGAAGTGTATGACTCAATGGTTAACACTCATGCTAACACATTAACAAAGATGTTTGTTGTCTTGAGGACGAAGGTTCACCTGACTCGAGTCATGGTATTTTATTCGCTTCATATGCACGTAAAAGCTGGACCACAAATAAGGAAGGCTGAACAATAACTGATACATCAGAATTACATTCTTTTTGTTGCCCAAGAATATTGAACACAGAATAAACTGCCAAAAGAGCAAATCAAACTTTCATGGAAGAAGATTCTTCAGAAACAAGGATGGCTTCATATCATGTACTTTGGACATGTGGTCAGGAGGGACCAGGACCTTGAAAAGGACATTATGCTTGGTAAAGCAGAGAGTCTGAGAACAGGAAGAAGACCCTTCAGCAGTGGGTTCAAACACAGCAGGGATTGTAAGGATGGCCCAGGACCAGGCTGTGTTTTGTTTGGTTGTACACAGGGTCAATATGAGTTGCAACCAACTCAAAGGCACATTAATAATAATAATAATAATAATAATAATAATAACCCTAAGAACAGTGCTCAGGCCTTTCATTCATAGGGTCGCTATAAGTTTCTACGACTCGACGGCACTAAACAACAACAACGACGACGCCAGAGAGAGAGCTATGTTGGCCTAGTGGACAGAAAGTCATGCTACCAAGCCGAAGGTGGGTGATTTTCATCTGTGGCCCTCAGGGCAGGTTCAAATGGTTTTCCTGTCAAACATTTTTCTAGGTGGTATAGCATAGCACTGGTCTGTGCATTGCTGTACAGAGGTAACTCGTGGTTGCTGTGATGCTGACCACTGTAACACTGATGTGCCCATGCTGGACAGTGTTTGCTGGAACTTCCCAATTAAAACAAGTCTGGAAGCAGGAATGGCATCCAATTCCGAAATGGCTTGCCTTCAGAAACCCTATGAACAGTGCTCAGGCCTTGTGTTCATAGGGTCGCTATGAGTCGTCTACAACTTGATGGCACCAAACAACAACAATTAATAATAATAATAAACACTTTAAATTATTATTATTATTATTATTATTATTATTATTAATTATCCTTGTCTAGTCCCTTATAGATGAGCAGTCATTCCCAAAGGCTCATTTTCTGAACAGCACATTACTTCTTACAGAAAGCAGAGGTCCGGGGGAGAGGCTGTGGATTCTGCCATTCATTTATTGTTGCTGTTTGTGCAGTTGAGTTGGGACGACTCCTTGCTCGCCCTCCAGTGGGTTTTCAGAGTTAGTAAACTGCACAGGGAAGAGTGCCAGTCTTTCTCCCATGATTCACTTGTTGTTAAGTGCCATTGAGTCAGGTAGGACTCATAGCAACTCTGAACAGCGGATCAGAACCCTGTACCATCCTCATTCTCTCTGGCACACTCAAGTCCATTGTTAAAGTCACTGTGTCAATTTAATGAGATGCGTTAACACAGTGACTGACTGTAGGCTCAAGCGTGTCAGAGACCCTGAGGATGGCATTTGATAGATCCACTCTTCGTACCTGGGAAATAAAAGACATGGGATGAATTTGGTCCATTATCCATACCTGTGTGCAAAAAATGTTATTTACAGATTTCCAAAAGACATGCTGAATATGCTAAAGTTTGGTGCAGCATCAAAAGGTCCCGTAAAGGATACCACCCAAAGGTCATGTTTTCAGGGCAAAGAGCTCAGTCACAGGGGGAAGTCAAATCCCTTACCTGTATTCTACTTCCTCTTTTCTTTCTGTAACAATGAATACACTTTATTGAAAAACAGCACTTTAATGGGCATGAAGGGTATAGCAAATAAGGAACAGAGAAATTAAACAGAACATTAAAATAAGCAAGACCAGGTAAAAACAAGATTGGGAAACTATTTTGGAGGGGAGTTTTTTACCTTTTCCAAATGTAAAGAATCTGGCTGTCATATTTGTAAAGATCCATGAGTGACCGCAGAACTGGATTAAATAATAGATGAAGAGATAGGTATTCTTCCTCTGCCTAGAAACACAAGAAAAGCTCCATTAAACACTCCCTTTGTTAGGATCATTTCAACATTATAAAGACCAGTGGTCCATTATCAGAATCCCTGGTGGTTTGATGGTTACCAAAAGTTTGGTGGTTCAAACCCAATTACTCAGTAGGAGACTGACGAGGCAGTGTGTTTCCAGAGAGGCTTACAGTCTTGGAAGCCTACGGACAGTTCTCCTCAGTCTTGTGGGGTTGCTCTGAGTTGGAATAGACTTGATTTCAGTGCACGTGTGTCTGGATTATTCCACTATCCCGGAACCCCTGGCACAATGGGTAAGCACTCATTCACACTAATCTAAAGATCTGTGGTTTGAACCCACCAGTCACCCAGTAGGAGGGAAAATGTGTCAGTTAGCTTCTAAAAAGATTCAACTGACAACAACAAAACAAAACCTCTAAGAACTCTGGTGGCCTAGTACATAAGGAGTTATACTCCTAGCCCAAAGCCATGTCTCCTCCAGCAGTTCGAATCCATCAGTAGCTCAGAAGGGGGAAACATGAGTAATCAGAGAGATTACTTTTTACAGTCTAAGAGACCCAATGAATGGTCAGTTCTAAGACTCCATTGGTTACAAAAGATTAACATCTTGTAAACCCAACAAGGTATTTCTACTCTGTCCTGAGGGCTCACAAAGTCAGAACTGATTGAATACCAATGGGTTTGCTCCATTACAAGAGTCTCTTATGTGATTACTCTCAAACACACTTCAGATTTTTGATAGAGTGGCAAAAACCCCTAGCAATTGTTGTGGTAAAAGGACAGCCAGGGTTCCTTAAAGGCAGGAATGGGGAGGCTGATCCATCTTACATACTCTGAGCATGTGTGCTTTCAGGAGGGGCCAGCCCTTTGCAAAGACTATGATGCTTGGAAAAGCTGAGAGTCGGTGAAGGAGAGAAAAAGCTCTCGATGACACAGACTAGAACGGTGACTGCAACCACAGTTTCAAGCACTGTAGAGATTGTGAGGCAAGGTCTCTATTGGTTGCACGCAAGGTCTGGAAGAGTTGGAGTTGGAGTAGACTTGATGGCACCTCCCAACTGCCTAGCATTCACTATCTAATAAAGTGACATCTTACATTTGCTTACAGCCCAATACGGTTGTATCTCAAAATCAATTTTCAGCTTTGATCACGTTGCAATCTTGCTGTCCACAGAGAGCTACAAAGCAAACCCTAAAGATGGCTTTGAATATTTTAAGGAGGGGAATGGCATGGATGGAGAGGGGTAAATGTGGTCGCTATGTGTTCCAGAAAGCAGCTCAGCAGAACCTGGAGGGATCTGGTTGGCAGTAACAGGAGCGAGTAGAAGTAGTGACAGTCCTAAATGGTGGCCAGCTGAGTGAGGCCGACCTGACTGCTGAGTGCATGAGGTGAGGGGACTCTGCACCCGTCTCTGCTTCCTGTCACATTCTCAGGGCAGATGGAAAACGTCCTTAGGAACACACAGAAAGCCGTTTAGTCACTCCAAAGGCCGGAAGAGGGAAGTCCAGCTTGGTTTAAAAATGTGTTGTGGATAGCTGGGGAGATGACTAAGAGAAGACTGGCAGATACACCCTTTGAGGGAGTAAGGAAACCGCCTGAGGTGTTGTTCCCCGAGGGTGGAGACCCTTCCAGAAGGCGGTGGGGTGGTCCTGCCAGTTTTAGCCAACTCAGCCAAAGGGTGGAGAGGTGACACCAGAGAAACAGGGTGAAAACAACTGGAAAGACGTGGGCAAGGGGCAGGGGAGGAGAGGTGGGTTAGCGCGAGCCTTCTCTGACCCCACCATCCCGGACCACCAAGCCCCTTTCTCTAGAGTCAGTCTCCTGGAATCTGCTCAGGCGATGGGTGCTTCTGCAGCAGGCAGACCTAAAGGCCGCCATGCAACATGGGCACCCCAGAAAGGAAAGAAGGGGTTCGCAGGTGAAAGGCAGCGAGGAGGTGGTGCGGGGCAGGCTGAGGGCCCTCGCAGGGAGACGCCACGATGTGTGTTCCCTGTTTCCTCGCCTGTAAAATGGGGAACACGACCGCGCCTTCCCAGGAGGGTGACCCTCGCTGCTGTCTGTCTGTTTGTGTGCCCGGGGCGCACGGGGTGCAGGGCCAAGCCCGCCGGAGTGGGGGCCCCCCCAGGGCCCTCCCGCCCTTGGCCCTGGCCCGCGCCCTACCTGGGCTGCAGCCAGGCCGGGGCCCTCGCCATGCCCGGTGGCCGCGTCCTCGCCGTCCGGGAAAGAGCGCAGGGGAGGGGCGCGGGCGGGGCGTCGAAGGGCGGCGCCTCCTGGGCGAACGGCGGAGAAAAGAAGGAAGACGGGGTGCTGCCCCCGAGCGTCCGCGCTGCACGGCCCCGCTGGGCACCCAGACCAACTTGGAAACGTGACTTCAGGAAAAAAGGGTCGGTCTGGTCGCGCACACACGCTCCCTGGAGGGCACTGGCTGATTCCTCCGGGATGCGAGGACCCCAGGCGCTGGCCGATGCTGTATGCGCCCTGCGCGAGGGGTGCAGACCGCGCTGGGCCACATCCCTGCAAACACCTTTTCCACCCAGAGGCCTGATTCGTCTCTCACCGGGGCTTCAAGCCCTTCTATCCACGCCCCATTCATCTTTAGCCATTTGCCCAGGACTCTTAACTGAAACCTGACCCTGATCACTCAGGCCTCTGGCCACCGAGTCCTTGGTACTCAGATGCTCGACTTTTAGGGTTGCTTGCAAGATCCAGATCTTCCAGCTTCTCTATCCTTTAAGGAAAACATGCCCCCAATAGAACAGACATAAAGTGAACAACATAAACTACGAAGGAGCTAAGCACTTGCAGGGAAGTGGGACCACAGCCCTAGGAGTTAGGAGGTAATACCCCATTTTACTGAAAGGGAAGTTGAGGCTTCCGCAAGTGTTAAGTCACTTGTCCCAGGTCACAGGACTGATAATGGTAGCTTTGGAACTTCAAGGCAGACTTTTCTCCCCTCCGGTTAGATGACAGCTTTTTTATTGCTCTGTATTTTCATTCATTTTTATCACATTCACCTGCCTGTGCGCACTGGGTCTCCCCAAAGCCCCTCTAGCATTTGTTACAGCTGCCTCTTCTCTTCTTGCATCTCTGCTTTCTCCTTCCCACTGGCTTCCCACCGTTTGGAACCCCCCTCTCATCTCTCCCACTCTAGCATTAAACATTTAAGTCTTCTGCTTCTCTCTGGATGTAACTGTCTATCTCCTTGGCATAACCTCAGCCCTTGCCCTCACAATCAGATGCTTCTTAAAAGTCTTTTCCCTCTTCTTAGTCCACCTCACCTTTCATTCCCAAAAGTTACCTGAAGCCTCTCTTAGCGGCTCTGGTAATTTCACTGGGTGCATGTTCTGTATTGCCTGTGCCAGATGATCCACATGGTCCTTGCTCTTAACAGAACATTTGTGGTAAAGTTCAAAGGCGTCTATTCTTCTGCCATCCTTAGTCATTTTCCAGCTCTCTGATGCACAGTAAGTAATCGCGAAGACAATGGCCTGGATTAGGTGCACCTTAGTCTCTAGACTGACACTGTTGCTTTTCAGCACTCTGGAGAGGTCCCTGACAGCAGATTTTCTCAATATAATTCATCTTTCGATTGCCTGACTGCTGGAGCTAAGAGTGTGGATTGTAGAGCCGAGCAAGCTGTAATTGTTTACGACCCCAATCTCTTCGTAACTATCATGATGCTGCCATTTGGACCAATGGTGAGAAAATGCGCATGCTTACCAAATTATTGCCCTCTCTTTTTCCCCACAGGGAAATTACCACCATAGCATTTGATGACGTTTTTACGTAGTGCCATCAGGTCAGAACTGACCCATATCTGAGAACTGGACAATGACTAAGGATGGCAGATGAAGAATAGATGCCTTTGAGCATCAGTGCTGGAGAAGAGCCTTGAACATATAATGGACCACCAAGAAAGTAAATAGGTCTGTCTTTCAGAGGGTAAAACCAAGTTTCTCCTTGGGGGCTAGGATTTTGAAGTTCTGTCTCACTTACTTTGGGCACATGGCCAAAGGAACCAGTCCTTGGAGAAGGACTTCCTGCTTGGAAGGGTGGAGGAACAGCACAGGAGAGGAAGACCCTGGGTGAGATGGTTCATGCAGTAACTGAGTGAATGGGGCTTCTCGTCTCTCTAGTGCAATATTCTAAGTCTCTTTTGATATCCATTTTGGTCTTTTTTTCTTCTTCCTTCTTAGTAATGACTCTTTACATTCTTCCTGAACAATATTCTTGATATCTTCCCACAGCTCACCTGGTCTTCGTTCACTAGTTCCAACACCTTAAACCTATCTCTGAGTTGGTTTTTAAATTCATGGAAGATAGACTCAAGGTCAAATTTTGATTCCTGTGGATATGATTTAAACTTCTTTAGATTTAATTTGGACTTGCATATGATGTAGTGCCTCAGAAACAAACCTTCCTTGATTTTGACTGATAGTGATTCCATGTATGTCAGAGGAAACCTATGCCGTCCAGGATTTTTTGCAATAAGTCACCAAGTCTTTCTTCCAAGGCTCTTCTGGGTAAACTCAAACATCAGTCGAGCCTTTCAGTTGGCAATTGAGAGCTTTATTTAGCCTTTCACTCATCTTGAGTATGGCTGGTGACTGTGGTCCCCACCTACCTGACTACATAACAGAGTCTCAGAAACTTCTGCTCCTTAATAGCAGTGAGAACTTAATGGTTTTAGTAGGGTTTTTTTCTTTTAGGAAAAAAACCAACCAACTTTTTATTATGACTTGTTTCAAAAAACAAACTAAAACCAAATCTCTTCTTTCATGATATTGTTTGCAATCCCCAATATGTCAATGTGACTCTTCTCACTTTCTCCACGTGTTTACCATGTCCATTTGAGATGGATTGATACAGTGACTGGGGCAATGGGGGTTGGAGTGTCTGAATTAGTGAGACTGGCTCAGGACAGGGCAGGGTTCAGAGCTGCTATACATAAGGTTGCTATGGTTGCTAAGGTTGGCAACTTGAGACTTGATGGCACTTAACAACAATAACATTTGGATAACTTAACAGTTGTTTAACTTCTTTAGGCAAAGTTAATTTGCCAAAAGTACAAAATTGTGTGGTAGACTCTTTCCCCTATGAAGCAGCCAGTGGATACAAACCTTGAACTTTTCCGTTAGGAGCCCAACCTCTCATGCTCTAAGCCACAAGGACTCTTCAGTATGCTCTTAAGTGCTGACAACTCTTGAATGAAAAAATCACAGAAATGGCTTGCTTACTGTGTTTCTTACCTAATAACCCAAATATTACTTCATTGTTGTTTGTTCTCAGAAAGTTTTCTTAGGACTGCATGGCCAGTATTCTCTCGTGTGGTCAACCAAAAGCCTGCTGGAGGGTCTGCTAGGAGTCAGTTCCGACTTGATGGTACACAACAAGCGTAACAGCAATTTTGGTGTTTCATATTTGAACATCTTTCCTTTTAATTCCTATTGTTGTATTGAGGGAGTTTGGTGGGGGTTTTTTGTGTTGGCTTTTTTTGTTTGTTTGTTTTTTTGGTTTTTTTTCTTCTCCATTATGGTTACATTTGTTTGAAGTTTTGTGGACCTTGGAACCCAGGGCAGATGTGATAAAGAAGAAAGTAAATATGAGCCTAAAGGATTTGCTTTATCACTTCAGTTCTTGCTTCTAAAATAACCTCAGGTGTCTTATCCTGCAATATTGATGCCATTGGTGTAAAAATGTGTTCATTTTTAGGAGAGACGGGCTGCATACGAGTGAGGGCTTAATCCCATGTTTGCCTGTGTGTAGCGCTCAAAGCAAATAAGCCTGTGCAGCCAATTTGTCCCATCTGTAAAATTAGGTAAGCAAATCACCTTACTTCTATGAGACTGTGACCAATACAAGACTGCAATAATAATGAAATATCTTGAGGGTGATTACTGCTAGCCACTCAATTGATTAGAAATTAATGAAGTAACTCATCCACTCCTCCAGCAAAGAGGTGCTGGAAGCAGCCTTTTCTCCATCTAACAGATGCAGAAAAATTTAAGTTGCTCGCAACACAGCTGTTGCTGTATGTTGTGGAAGCAGCGCCTACTCATAGCGACCTACACCCAACAGAAGAAGCCAATCTTGTGCCATTTATCCCATCTTCACTGCGCTTAAAGCCACCATTGCCATCACCAAGGCAATCCTTCTCTCTAAGAGTTCTTTTCTCTTTCTGCTGACCCTCCGTCCTTTCCAGCATGATAGACTTTTTCAAGGACTTGTGCCTTTTGATAATACGCACGAAGTATGTAAGATGAAGCCTCACGATATTTTTTTTAAGGAGCACACTACTTCCACTTCTTACAAGACAGGTCTTTTGTTTGTTTTTTTGGCAGTCCACTGTACATCAGTACTCTTCAAAACACTGCAATTCCAAGGCATCAATTCTCCTCTGGTTTTCTTTGTTCACTATCCAACTTTCACATGGGAATTGAAAATGTCATGCCTTGAGTCAGATACACCTTAGTTTTTAAACTGACATCATTTCTCTTTAGCGCCTTTAACTGCTAAATATTGCCAAATATTTTCCCCACTCTGCAGGTTGGAGGTTGATTTCATGAATGTTGATTGTATATCTAAGTAAAATGGAAGAGTTGACATTAATCTATTCTCCAGTCTTTTTTTTCTTTGTGTTCAGATGCAATCCAAATTAAAGGTTGTAGACTTTGATCTTCAGTAATTGCCTCACATCTTATTCACTTTCAGCAAATAAAGTTATATCACCTGCATATCACAAGCTGTTGATGAGTATTCCTCCAAATCTGATGCCACAGCTTTGTGTGTTTTTTTTATTTAGTTATTTACAGCTGGCTATCAATAAAGCTGGGATGTGAATTCAATTAAATGAATTAATTACATTAATTAAAATGAATTCATTAGATCTTTATATACATAATTATTTTCTAAATGCTGAGTTTGAAAGTTACTTCAGAACTCCAGAAAGTATGAAACAAACTGAATGTTGCCTGGTCTTCATATTAACCTCAAATTCCAGATTGTGTTCTAGAGAATGTTTCTCCACACCCCACCCCAACTTAATTTAATTACATCTGAAGTTGTTGGATATCCATCCATCACCATTACATTTTCCGTGACAGCTGTTGACCAGAGGGGAAAATCTTCATATTAAAGCAATTGAATCTATCACCCTCAAGGCATGTAAGATGCAACTAATAGGATCCCTCTC